TGTTCCAAGCTAGGTTGCAGCTGTTCTTGTTGCCCTATAATCCATAAACATGCGGTAACATCTGAAGTGGGACTTAAACCTTTTTTTTTCCTTTCTGCCCTCTTTCTAAAGACTCCATGTCACCCTACCACACAGCAGCTGCTGAAACATTCTCCTGACATGTATCCCTTATATGTGTCCAGCTCCAGATAATTCACTCTGAAGGTGTATGAATCTTTGATTACTGAGAATCTTTTATTAAAAGGATGTTATGCTTTTACACTGACTCTAATACCTGTGTGATAAATTCTATATTCCTGTGACATGAAAGATATAATTGAGAGAGACTTAGCTCAGAAGAATTTAGCCAAAAAGATGACAGTTCTAAGTACCCAGCTTCTGCACACAGTTTTTACCATTTTTAGTCAATGACATTGTGTTTATCATTTAGATAATTACCTTTAAGTGCACTTTAATTAATAAACTGATACTTAAAAATGAATATGTTGAAATGATTTCTATCTAGTTACAGTAAAGTATACTTTGAACACTAAACATGCAAATGTTATACAACCTAGGCCATAACCCCATGACTGACTACATTTAAGGTGGAGACTGTGTCAGTGTGGCTGAAGCAGAAAAGAACATTGAACTGGTTACTGGTGAGTTAATTGCTGAATTTAGTCAATGTACATAACCCTGGTCCTAAACTTCCTTCTGTTAGAATCAACAAAATGATGGCTTGCGAAAATTGGGTATATCATCATCATAACTGAACACATTTATGATCAACTGTTGGCATCAGAATTTGAACCCAAACAGTCTGATATAAGAGCTTGCACCCTTAACAATAGCTTTTAGAGTCAGACTGCCTGGGTTCCCATCTGGCCTATCTCATTTATCAATTTTTACAACTGTAAAATAAGGATATTAATAGTACCTACCTTATTGTCTTCACATGAGACAGTATATGTGAAATGTTTGGAACAACTCTGGCAAAGTAGATGATTACTGAATGCTAATTATCATTATGACAACACTGTGTCACTTCCTAATAACAGAAATTTTGATATAAAAGGGAACTTAAAGATGATAAAGTTCACTGTTTTCAACTGCAGGTCACAATCTGTTAGTGGGTTATAAAATCAACTTAAGGGCTCTCTTTCAGCATTTAATAAAACAAATAAGAATAAAACAGAATGGAACACATCAGAGTGCATGGCGTGCAGTAAGACTAAGTGTTGTTTTATGAAACGTTTGTTTTGGGGGGATAGCAGATATGATGGACGCTCTGCCTACATCACCTCGGGTCCCTTCTAGAAGTTCTGCCTTATCCCCAGCATCTTTGTTCTCTCTATTACATGATCTGTCCTCCAGTTCCTCAGAAAACTACCCTTCAACTACTGGAACCATATTAACCCAATGTATTGTATCATTTATCTGTTGCTATATAACACATTTTTCAAAAACTTAGTGACTTAAAACAATAAACACTTTAAGGTGGCCTAGTCTTAACCTTAAATGTATTTTCTAAGTGTCAGGAATCCCAGAGCAACTTAGCTGGGTGGTCTTAGCTCCGGATATCTTACGAGATTTCACTCAAGCTGTCAGCCGGGGCTCAAGCCTTACCTGGAGAATCTGCTTTCAAATTCATGTGGTTGTTGCAGTTCCTTGCTGGCTGTTGGCCAGAAGTCTCAATTCCTTGTCAGGAGATTCCACATCACAGGTGTCATGGGCCTCTTCATAGGGCTGCTCATAAAATGGGAACTTGTTTCTCCCAGAGCCAGTTATCCAGGAGAGAAACAATCTAAGACAGGTGCCACGGTCTTTTATATCTTAATCTCAGAAGTGATATAACATCATTTCTCCTGTATTTATTGGTCACCCGGACCAACCATAGTACAGTGTACACAATGGTGTGAAGACCACGAGGTAGCGATCGTTGGGAACAATCTTTGGGGACTGGCTACTGTAGGTACCATGAGCTGAAATGTCTGGGAAGTTACATCCTGCTGGGGTAGCCCGTAACCAGTGATTGACTGGTGATGAAATATGAAAGCCCATCTCTCTTGCCTCAAGGATGGTCAGATTCTGCAAAATATTTTATGCTCCATAGTTCCCCATGGGATTAGGTTGAGGTTAGGGCTTCACTTCAATTCTCACCTTTGGTTGATTTCTACCTCTTTCCTCCTCTCTCCTCTGTTTCTTCTATTCCAATACTAGCTTCTCCTGGGAGCATATTCTTGATAAATCACTTGTACTCAGACCCGTCTCAAGATCTGCATCTGGGAAGCCCAACCTAGGGCGAGGTGTGGTCGTGGTGGTGATGGTGGTGGTGGGTGTTCTGGGTCAATATAAAACATTCCTTACTGTTATTTATTTTAAAAAAACATGGACTTAAAAAAAAACTCATTGATATCAGTCCTTTTATTTTACTACTGAGGCCCAGGCAGGTGAAGCGATTAACCTAAGATTACCCAATGCTTACTGGTTAGCTGGGCCATTGGTTTTGTTTTAACTCCCTGTACTAAGCCTCTGGATGTAAAATACCTCCCATTAAATTAAACTCCATCTCTTCCACTTGACAGTTGCATAACGTAAGCCAATTCAGTCCCTCCAGACCTTAGTATCCTCATCTGTAACATAGGGATAATAACTACCGTGAATAGAAAGAAAAGGTTGGACAAAAATAAAATCAAATTCAAGCAGCACCATTCACTGGTCTTTTCCCCAAAATTTCTTATTGCAGTAAAAATATTTATATGTAATATTTAGTGTCTTAACCATTTTATGTGTACAGTTCAGTGGTAGTAAGTACATTTATATTGCAAGTACCACCACCATCCATTTCTGGAACTCTTTACATCTTGTAAAACTGAATCTCTGTGCCATTAAGCAACAACTCCCTATTCTTCCCTCCTTACAGCCCGCGACAACCACCATTCTATCTCCTTTTTGATTTACCACCCACTGGATTTTTGACTTTAAGAAAATAATGCATTTTTATTTCCTTCATCTTGGGTGAAAAGAGAATAATACTTCTAGTGTATAACTTATCAAAATACCTAGTATATACAACCAGTGGCAGCTGGGATTATTATCATGTACATAGAAGTGCTTTATAAACTATAAAGTATCATAAAACATGAGTTATTGTAGTTATTTTTATGGCACTACACTTAAGCAGGACCTCAAATTCTGCTTGGTCATATGGAGCTGCACATCAAAACATTATAAATTTTTGATCAACCTCATGACATTATTTAAAAGCAAAATATGTTAATAGTATCACCAAGCTTGTTTTCTTCTTTTTCTTTGGAAAAACAAATTAATTTTTTATAAACAAATTATCTAAAAATATTTTCTAAATGAGTGATTTTAGATTTTAGTAAATTTTAGTTTGTAGCAAAACATAAAAGATAAATTTTAATTGTGCAAGGGTTTTTAGCTTTTGTATCTCACAAACTGGTAATATATCTGACTGTAAGGTAAACATGGTCATGTTTAACCTCAAGGGACCCTTATTCTTTGAGTAAAGAAGGGAGACAATTTTATAGTCTGTATTAGCATGAGTCTATCTCTCCATGTAGAGCTACCATTGTCCTGTCCTGATGGATCAAATATTTCAAATTTTTAAGAAGTAAGAGTTAAAAAGAAATATATCATGTAAACAGAAACTTTAGCAGAAATCAGGAAAAAAAAGTATTTCAAAATGTAATAACTTTAGGCCTATAGTAGAAAAACAAATCCTATTTGCACATGGGTTAGCCTGTCTGCAAACTGAATGAATGAACTTGCCTACACAGAGAAAAAATAAAGTCCGATTCTGGCTGAGGGACTATTAAACTAGAGAATTTAAAAAATTTTTAATTTAAAAAACAATGAATTAATGGAAAACTATGGCCCTCTCTGTAAAGAAACAATCACTCATACATTTCCAGTGGAAAATAGTACATCTCCTAGGAAAGCCGATTTGGCTATGTCAAACAAGATTACACATTCAATTTGGAGCTACAAATTCAACTGCTGGACAGGTACATGTGTGTGCATGCATCTATGTATGAAAATATATATTCAAGTGTATATTCAAGGTTGTTTACTATAACTGGGTGTTTTTGGTAATATTAAATATCTGGAAACCACCCAGTATCCATCAATTGGAGATTGGCTTAAGAAATTATGATGTATCCACACAATAAAATGCTATGCAACTATGAAAAGACTGAGTGTGTTTTTTACGTCCTGATATGCTACATACTCTAAAGTATATTATTAAGTAAAAATGTCAAAGTGAAATACAGTGCATATGCTAACTTTTGTGTAAAAATTGAAGAAATATGAATATTTATTTTCAAACACTGACAAGATAAACATCAAACAAGCAAAAAACAATGCTCACTGTATCAAAACTGGAGGTAAAATAATAAAATTTACACATTCAATTTTCCCCTTTGCATAACAAAATATACTAATAATTGAAAAAATATTTCTCAAAGCCTGCTCCTGGATTCTTTCATCTGCCAAGATTTAAACTAGATCTCATGAAAGTTAGTTTGTAAATCTATGTGTGACAATGCTAAATTTAAATCACCATGCAATGCCTTCTTCAAGATATCAATTGACTTGATCATGGTACCCTATAAATAAAGTTCTTGAACTATGCTATGTCAGGGATAAAGGAGAAAGGCTCTGACTAGGAACAGCTAAGTGAAGAGATACTGATGATGAGGTGGGGAGGGGGTAAAGAGCCCCTGTAGAAACCATACAAATGGCCAAAGAGTCAATAGTTGTGAGTGGTGACAAATAGATAAATGTTAATTTTGATGCCTGTAAAGGGTTTCCAAGTCTCCCCTACTGCTTTATAGACACTGCATCATCTATGCAATTTGTTTAGCTTTGAGAGAAATAAATTGACACAATAAGCCATTCACCACCCTTTATGACTGTCTAGACATGGGTGATGCCAAGAGAAATAGAAGGCACATCTATCAGATTGAGTAGGCCTAGCTCCATCATTAGGGATGGCCCAAATAAAAAATGAGAATGATGAAAATGATTGTCAGATGTCTGGGCCACATTCTGCTCTAATTATGAATATCCTGGTTTGTGGATTATTTTTCCTGCCATTTCTGAAAATAGCAAAAGGGTGGATCATTAGGCTCATGAGCACTGGAGAAAGCAAGCATTCATCTCTTGTCCACATGAAGGGGAAAACTTGAAACAATGCAGGCCCTTTTCTCAGCCCATGGAAGGAAGTGTGAAAAGGCTCTAGGATAAGAAGAGCAGAACAGGATTGAATCCTTGTGGGCACAATTCCAACTATGTTCTTTCATTGGTCCACGAAAAACTCAAGCACCCTCGCCCACCTGTCCTGTAAAAAGGAACATGCACCTCACCTCCAATGTGGTCCTCTCTCAATTTGCTGTCATGCAAGATCAGCATCAGCCATATTTGCTTCCCTTTGGACTTCTCTCTGAGAGTGTCAGACATTGTCTCCCAAACGCCAGAGGCTTATGTGAAGCTGAGTAGCCAACTTCAAGTCAATCATGTATCTTCAAGATCAACCCTGTGCTAAGGATTTAAAACATTACTTTTGCTCCATTCTCCTTGCAAGTCCAGTGTCCCACACCAGGGCATGAATGTATTTGGAATTTACTGGTTTTTTCCCCCACCTTTGGAAACTCAGCCAAAATTGAAACAAAAGAAGTTGTTCTTATGCTTATATCCTCTTATTCAATCTCTTTCTTCCCTACCAGAATGTGGAATTGAGCTTATCCATAAGGATTCATAAAATTGTCCTGCACATCTCACTACTTAGGTTACGGGTTACCTTGTTTAGTAAACCAAAAGTAAACAATTATTCTTGCCTCTATATTCCCTACCACACCTAGCACAGGGCTTCATTTAACATATGTTCAATAAATGTTTGCCTGAATTAAACCAGCTGCTTTATTTTACATTGATAAAATCAGCCAGATGTAGACAACATGTTAAAATGATTTACATTTCAATTGTAAAATTAAAATCTAGAACTACTACCTTCTTTTTGAAAAAAAACTCAGTTTATCAGTTTGGAAAATATGCTCTTATGTTTTGATTTCCAGTTCCTAGACAATCAAGGGAAAACAATTTTCAATGTTACTGGAAATTAAATCAGTGGTAGAAATGTGTAGTAAATGTATTGATTTGGTTTTACAGTATCATGTTTAGTAATCTTGTATATTGTTTCTTTACTTTTTTCTCCAGATGCATATTGTTGGTCAAGATATAATTTTGTAAGCTTTCTAAAGTAATTAAATTATCTTTAGCTATTGGACAGCTGCAATTGTCCTTTCAACTTAAAACCTTAGAAACAGAGCTCTACAAAGCACACTCATTCATTCCAATTTTCTTCAAATTTGGTATGTTCCATAAAGAAAATTTAGAAATTGATGATAATTATACTAAAGAAAGCATAAAATTTAGGTTACAGACTGGGAGAAATATCTGCAAATTGTATACCTCATAAGAGTCTTATGTTGAGGAAATACAAATAACTCTTACAACGCAATAGTAAGGAGCCTAATTAAAATAAAGAAAATATTTGAGGAGATATTTTATTTCAAAAAAACCCCATACAAATGACTACTAAGTATATTAAAAGATGTTCAACATCATTACTCATTAGGGAAATACAAATAAAAGACACAATGAGATGTGATGTGTGTTCACACATACAAGAATGCTACAATAAAAAAGACAACAAATGTTAGTGAGGATGTGGAGAAATAGGAACCCTAATACAGTTGTGCTGGGAATGTAAAATGGTACAGCAACTTTGGAAAAAGGTATGTATCCGAGAAAAATAAGAACAATTTTCACACAGAGACTTACATAGACATGTTCATAGCGGTATTATTTATAATGGTCCAAACCCAGAACAATCCAAATGCCCATTAACTGAGGAAAGGATAAACAAATTGTAGCATATCCATCACATGGAATTTTATTCAGCAACTAAAAGGAACAAAGCACTGATAACATGCTACAACATGAATGAAACTCAAAAGCATTTTGCTAAGTGAGATCATCCAGACACAGAAGACTACGTATTTTATGATTCTGTTGATATGAAGTGCCCATAATAAGCACATTTATAGACAGAAAACAGGTAGCGGTTGCCTAGAGCTGGGAGTAAAAATGAAGATAGAAAATGGAGGGTCCGGGCTCGGTGGCTCAGCCTGTAATCCCAGCACTTTGGGAGGCCGAGGTGAGTGGATTGCCTGAGCCCACAGGTTCGAGACCCGCCTGGGCAACTTGAGAGACCTCATCTCTACAACAAATAAAAAATCAGCCGGGCGTGGTAGCGCACGCCTGTAGTTCCAGCTACTGGAAGGCTGAGGCGGAAGGATCGCCGGAGCCCAGCAGGTCGAGGCTGCGGTGGCCGGGAGTGGCCACTGCACTCCAGTCTGGGCGACAGAGTGAGACGCCAACCCCCACCGCCAAAAAAAGAAAGAAAAGAAAAGAAAATGAAGGTCTTACCAAAGGATTGTGGTTGAAAGCTACAAATTTAATAGGAAGTATTTAATTGTATACTTAAAATGGGTGAATTTTGTTATGAAAGTTAGATCTCAATAACATTGTTGAAATGTTTCATAAAAGCGTTTAGTTCACAGGTATTTCTTACTACATTTACTACATTTCTTACTACAGAATTTTTTCTTGCTGGAGTATCAAACTTAAATTTGAGGATGTATTTCTATATCTTTTAAAAAAATAATGAAGGAATATGTGTTAACTGAAGAAAATTCAGAAAATGTAGCTAGAAAAATTCTTCCATAATTCCACTTCCTAAACTAAACACTATCAATATATTGGTGCATACCTTTTGTAGGAAGCATCCATCATAGTCTTCCTATTCATGGTTGCCCATTAGCTTTTGGATAATTTTTCTATACAGCAAATCCTCAAATAACATCATTTTGTTGTCATGTTGACGGGGGAAAAAAAAAGAAACCTGACTAGGGCCACCATCTGTGTGGAGTTTGCACGTCCTCCCCACGTCTGTGCGGGTTTTCTCCAGGAACTCCATCTCCTCCTATATCCCAAAACTGTGCAGGTCAACCGACATGTGTTCATGGTCCCAGTGTGTGTGGGAGGCGGGAGAGAGAGAGAGAAATTGTATGTGTGTGTAAATACAAGGAGGGACCCAAATAACCTAGAATTTATCTTCTAAAAATTGTGTATTTATTCTTACATGTTTAGGTTTCTTCAAAGTACTCCCCGTTGATGCAATACAACTATCATGATGCTTTTTCCACTGCTCAAAACAGTTTTTAAATTTGTCGATTTTGATGCCTCTTAGTGCTTCTGCCAATTTTGTTGTTGTTGTTTGTTTCACCTCTTCCACATCGGCAAAATGTTTCCCTTTGAGGACTTTTTCTCATGGGGCTGTGGGGGTGGGGAGGCGTTTTGGGCGAGATCAAGTGAGTAGAGGGGGTGGGGCATGGGGATCATGCAGTTTTTGGTAAAAAACTGCTGAACACTCAGTGTGGTGTGGGCAGGTGTGCTTGTAAATCATCCATCATGAAATGGGCAAATGCATTAAAAGGATCTAAAAAAAATTGCTGAAGCTGAATGCAGACTCTCATAACACTAGCTGATGCATTGACGCCAATTGGTTCCTAGAACACTTACCTAGCGGGGTGAGCCTGTACTGCAATAGGCCTGCCTCCAAAAAAATAATTCCAGGGGTTTTTTGGGGAGGTCCCCCCTCATATATCCTGGCATGGCAGCCCTGAGCTGCCAGGATGGGTTCCGATCACGCGTGACCCTGAACTGGAATAACTTGGGTATATAATTATCTTGTTTGTATTAATTTGTCTTAAATGTATGTATGGATCACATTTACTTTAATGTTTAATATTAGAAGTTAGTCTTTTATTTAGAAATTTGGTGATTTTTTGTGACCAGAAGTATGTCATAGAAACTTAGCTCTTATTTGTATCAATTATCCTATGGTCAAATTCATTTCATTATACTTTATTTTACCTAAAGTTGCAGTTTGCAAGAATTTATAGACAGTGTTAAGTGAGGACTTCTTGTAGTTGGAGAATGTGACAGTTTAAATACCTGTCTGAAAATTCTTGAATCTATCCTATTGATTCTGCCTCTCAGGAGAACCCTGACAAATACAGCAGGCTACACACCAATACATAACCAGAACAAGAAATTTCCCATGTCTGTGTCCAACTTCCCAAACATAGGGATAGAAACTCAAATTCACAGCCCTACTTGTAACTACTGTGCAGGGATGTGACCTAGACTCCATCAATCAACTACAACCATGTGAGCAATCTGCAGTGCTTTCATTTCTCCTGAAGCTATGTCTAGCATCTAATGGTGCAATGAAAGCAGCTTCCTGGTGGTTGCAAAATTGAGTTCCTGCCACAGATCTGGAGTCATAATAGTAGCAATGCAGGTTTCCTCTAGTGTTCAGTGGCAGTAGTTTATCAAGTCTGTTTTGAGGAATTGTTTTAGGTTCTACTCCTGAAAGTTTAGCTTCAATCCCAATTTTCCAGCCCTGCAAGCAATCGTAATAACTATTGATGAATGACTTTTTTGCTTAATAGCCAATCTGATTGAGAAATTGGTGCCATAAGTGGTTACAAGCAACAGATCCTCAGGAAAATAGGGAGGAAATCTCAGACTTGATTATCTCTTCTAGTTATTGTTGATGTCGCTAAAAACTCAACTAGTAGTCCTAGACATGCATAAACCAAACAAGCAGCTAATTAAATTACTATCTGTGCTCATTAGGAGTAATGTGCTTATTTTGGGCAAGGCTGTGAAGGATCCAGTGGCAATTGTAAAAGGATAATATAAAAGGCTTAAGGGATTCAAATTTTCCAGTATAACCTAGTTGCTTCTAGCTGAATGTGATAGCTAAAAGAAAAGAGAACAGCAACCTCAAAGTCTTAATGTTTTATATCAAGATAAAACCAAAAATTTGTGGAATGTCTATGATTTTATTCAAGGAATCACTTATTACTTGCAGCCACTGGGTTGAGATAGCTAAAAACAAAACTCAAAGTTTGATATTGAGGCTACTGCATAAGAACATTGGCTTACCATATATTTTACATAAGAGTTATATTTGGTTTAGAAGAGAGTAGAATCCCAAGAGTTGGAATGGTAAGACTCATATAACTCAATATCTATACCCTATAGACAACCTTCTTTTATTTCCTGGTTGATAAGGCTGTTTCTTCATTCATTGAAGACCCTGTAACAACTTTGCTGAGAGTGTTGCCTTGAAAGGGGTAGAAAATTCTCCTGACTTCTTACTTCATTCTTCTGATTATTTTCACACCTAAACTAGAATCAGGTTATGACAGGTATCTGTTGGCAAATTTACTAATGTATATTGGCAAAAATCAGAATAGGTTCAGTGGGTGCTATACCAATGAAAGCAAGACAAAATATTAGATCAGGCTGAGTTCACTATTGAAGAAACACTCACTAGGAAATTCTTATTTCGTTGTTTTAGTTTAAAATGCTGGGAATGGTTCCAATTGTTTGTTCAGTTGGACTCAATGGCGGGGGGGGGGGGGTAAAGTAAAGGAAGCTGAGATGTTAAAAGTTTCCTGGTATGATATAAGTGAAGGAATCCAAGACTTAAGAATTTTGTAGTGGATTTATTAAGCATTACTTATTTACTCATTCAGCTTACATGGTTTGGTAGGTTTAATAAACCTCCACTTTATACAATAACCCACTACTCATTTACTGGCCTTTTTGAAACACAAAGAAACTAATACACCTTTTCCAAGGACAGAATGCAGGGAACTAGATGTATGACTAAAGACAACAAATGCCCACTGGCCCTGGATGGCAGTGAGAAAAATACTCCACACTGCTTTCCTTCTGTTGGCCACTTGGAGTGCCAGTTAATTGTGCTACGTGTTAAGCCACAGTCTCAAGTTACATGACACTGCCCTGTCCGAATTTGTGAGATCCATGGGAAATTAGAGGTTAGGTCAGTGATTTTTCAATTGGGAATCATTTTGCCCACCAGAGGCTATTCGACAATGTTTAAAGACATTTTTGATTGTCAAAAGTAGGAGGGTGCCACTGGCACTTAGTGAGTAGAGATCACAAAATGCTTGCTAAACATCCCACAGTGCACAGGACAGCTCCCCCTCCCACCACAACAAAGATTAACCAGTCCCAAATATCAATAGTACTGAGGCTGAGAAACCCTGAGTTAGGTGTATATAAAATATGTACAAGAAATACAAGCTGACTAGGCCATGTTACTTGTAGAGCAGGGGGTCAGCAACCATTTTCTTTAAAGTGCCAGATAGTAAATATTTTAGGCTTTGTGGGTCATATGGACTCTGATGCAACCACAGACAACACTCATAAATGAAAGAAAGGGCCTCTGTCCAATAAAACTTTATTTACAAAAATAGATTGTATTCTAGATTTGGCCTGCAGGCAATAGTTTTCCAGTGCTTGATATAGAGATTAGCCCAAACGCTCTTTGCTACAGTGGTTTGTTGTCTAAACCACAATGATTTTATTGTTTAATAATGCATGTATTTTGCAATAAACCCTTTCAGTTACAATTAATTTTAAAAAATGAAATGCAGACTCTCTAGCCTGGGGCCTCTTCTGAGCTGGCACTCCAAGAGCAGTCTCTGTTGGGCAAGGGAGTACATACACCTTGGAACTGGGCTATAGAGTCTGGAGGAGGGGGTTAGGAAGAAGAGGAGGAGCACATTCCCACACCCACACATCCACTAAATCTATGAGGGTCTTGACTGGGTCTTTTTGAGAATGTTGACCTGTACCCCCTCCCACCTGGGAGAGATGGAAAGTCCCTTACCTCTCATCCTGCCTGAGTGGGGACTGGTATGTCTTCTAAATGGTGAGACATACCTTTTGTTCCAGGTTTGTCCAGCCGGCATGATTGAGAAAGTGGCTGGACAGTTGGAGGACAAACAGAAAAGCCGACTGTTCTACAGACCTGAAAATGGCCCACCCCAAAGACTAAGACCACTGATCCCAGGAAGACATACTGACTTTGTGGCAATGCATGAAGAACAACCTTCAATCTCAATGACAGCTCCAAGTTCAAAATCATCAAACTACATATGGAATGGGAAAAGCAACATTTAAAGATTTTTCTGGAGACGTGTGCAAGCTCAAATGGGTAGAGATTTCTAATAAGGTGAGGAAGTTCTGTATGTTGAAAGATTTGCTTCTTGATGCCCAGGAACACTTAAAAATACTTAGAAAGGCAAAAACAAAAAACAAGAAAAAAACCTTAAGAAACACTCAGACTTCCCAAAGAAGCCCTTGACCTCTTATTTCTGCTTCTTCATGGAGAAGGGGGCCAAGTATGTGAAATTCCACCCTGAGATGAGCAACATGGACCTGACCAAGATTCTGCCTAAGAAATATAAGGAGCTTCTGGAGAAAGAGGAGATGAAATACATTCATGATTTCCAGAGGGAGAATCAAGAGGTTGAGAGAAACCTGGCCCAGTTCAAAAAAGATCACTTCCACCTAATCCAGAATGCCAAGAATCAGACATCACCCAAGAAGTCTAAAACCTTCCAGCAGCTGTGGTACACTCTTGAGAAGAAGGAATATCTCAAAGTGCTACCAGATGCCACTATGAAGGAGGTGAAGGACTCCCTGAGGAAGCAATGGTCTCAGATCTCAGACAAAAAGAGGCTGAAATAGATTCATAGGCCTTGGAGCAGTGAAAGGAGTATGAAGAGATTATGCAGGACTATATCCAGAAGCACCCCGAGCTGAACATCAGTGAGGTGGGCATCACCAAATCTGTCTTCACCAAAGCTGAGAACACCAGATCAAGGACGAGTTGGATGGGTAACCCACCAAGTCACCTCCAACCAGCTACTCACTGTACTGTTCAGAGCCGACATGAAGGATGTACCCAGCAGGAAGTTAGTCTTCCAGAAGCAGGAGGATGCCTAACACCAGAGGCACATCCAGAAAATAAAGATTATAAGGTAGAACTGCTCCATTTTCTTGAGAGCTTGACAAGGAGGAGCAGTAGCAGCAAGTACTGGGGGAGAAGAAGTTGAACATCAACAAAAAGCAAGCATGGCCTCCAAGAAGTCACCCTGGGAAGGAAGCAAAGGCAGGTCAGAGAAGCCTAAGCAGCCTGTATCGTCCATTTTTGTTTGTTTGTTTTTGTTTTTGAGGACAAGTTGTGGCAATTGCAGGAGGATTGGCCCGAGTCCTCTGAAAGTGAGTTAACCCATCTGCTGACCTGACTGTGGAATGCCTTGTCTAGGAAGAAGGCCAAGTACAAGGATACAAGGCCACGGAGTCGGCACTGAAGGCACAGTTGGAGAGGAAGCCTTGTGGGAGCACTAGATATGGGGCAAGCTGCCAGAGTCACCCAAGAGAGAGGAGGAGATCTGGCTACAGAGTGTCATCAGTGACTACATGGCCTGATTCAAGAATGACATGGCAGAGGTCTCAGAAGCCATGGAGGTTACTTGGGATAACATGGAGAAGGAGAAACTGATAGGGATTAAGACAGTTGAAGACCAAAAGCTACATGAGAGAGAGCTGAGTGAGTTGCAGGCACCTCCACGGCTGCAAACTCTTCTGAGAAGATGACGTTCCAGGAAGAATCCAAGAACCCTCCCACAAATGGTTGCCAGAAGTTCTCCTAAGAGCTGCTATCCAACAGAAAGCTGAGCCTCCTGCTGCTCCAGGGGTACATGGTGGAGATTGGCAGCCTCCCGCAGTGCATCTCCCAGAGCTAGAAAAAGCACTACAGAAATCTGGCTGTAGTGGAGCAGCAAAAGAAGTACAAGATACACCTGGGCCTCTGGGTCAACAGCCTGTCTCCCCAGGACTGTGAAGTATCTTGCCAATAAACGTAAGGTCATGACCAAGCTGCGAGGCCTGAACTCCAAGTAAAGCCAGACTGCCCTGCAGTCTAAGTCTAGGTCTGAGGAGGAAAATGAAGAGGATGAGGACAATAAGGATGACAAGGATGAAGAAGAGGAAGATGATGAGATTGTGGACTCCTCTGAGGATGGCAGAAACTCCTATGAGTCCAGCACTGAGGATGAGATTGAGGACAAGGACAAGAATGAGAAGAATGGCAAGGACAAGGATGATGAGGAGGATAATGATGAGGATGAAGACAATGAGTCTGAGGGGAACAGTTCTAGTTCCTCCTTTTTAGGGGATTCCTCAGACTCTGCCTCCACCTGAGGCTCAGCCCCACTCTGGGGCAGCCAGGAGGAGCCCAGGAGCCCCTCTTCCCAACTGGCCATCTTTGTTTCTCCCCCATGTTGTATCCTGCCTCCTAACCTCCTTCCTCCCTCCCTCCCTTCCCTCCTTCCTACCTTCCTTCCCTATCTTTCCCTTCCTTCCCTCCCTCTCTCTCTCCCCCTCCTTCCTTCCTTCCTACCTTCCTTCCTTCCTTCCCTTTCTTTCCCTTCCTTCCCTTCCTCCTTCTATTCCTTCCTTCCCTTCAATACAGTGGGGTTGAGGGGCTGGAATTCAGACTACAACTCTGCAGCCTCAGAGATATGAGCTCTAAAGCGTCCTCTGGGGAGAGCAACTATCAGAATGAGCCAGCACTGGACCAGTCCTGCCCACTCCACTCACTTCTGACTTGCAGTTTCAGCATGGACAAGGAACCAGGGAGTGAAGCAGGGAGGCCCAAAAAGTTCAGTGAGGTCTTCCGCACCTGCAGCTCAATCCAAGGTGGAGTGGAAGTTTGGGGAGGATCCCTTCTTTCTCGGAGGGGCTTGCCACCTGGACTCCTGCACTGAAACTAGAGGCAGGGAACACGTGGGGAGAGGAGGGTGGGTGCCTTTGAGAGGGCCCTGATGACCCCTTCTTCTGCCCCCTGTGGGCAGGAGATGCCTGGACCTACTCATGAGGGTGGGGGTAAAAGTGGTTTTTTTATATGTGTATGTATATATTTTTAAGCTTTAAGTTGTCAACAAGATGTTTCCTCCCCCCAAAAATGAAGTGTATGATTATTAATGACAAGCTACTATCAATTTCTAAGTCAGTTATGGACATGTAATTTTCACAACATTTTTGGAGACATTTACTATTCACCCTGGAAACCAAAATAATATATTGACTATGTAAAACTGAGGAGGTAAATCCATGAGAGATACATACACATCTATTTTGAAACTCAGAGGATAATTTAAGATACTTGGGCCTGAAGATGGCAGTTTAACTTGTACACCTTCAGAAGATGTATTTACATATCACTCAGCAAAGCATGACTTTTAATTTAGATCAAATCATCATGTTCCAAAACTAATATCATTTATTTTTATTCCAAGTTTTCATGTGTACATATTAAAAATGAAGTGATAGATGTTATTGTGTTTGCTCCATTAGCAGAACTTCACAAAGAATTAAGTGAGTAGGCTTTATGTCAGTGATATTGGAAGCTTCAGATTTAAAAATCTGTTAATTCCAATGGTGGTTAAATTTTTTTCACCCAATTCATTGAATCAAAGTAAAATTTTTAGAAGTTTATTCTGTCGAGGGAAAAATAAGACATTATTACTAAAATTTATTTTAGAAGCTCAACATTGGGAGGCTGGGCATGGTGACTCATACCTGTAATCTCAGTACTTTGAGAGGCTGAGGTGGAGGGATTGCTTGAGTCCAGGCGTTCAAGACCAGCCTGGTCCTAATCAACATAGCAATACCTTGTCTCTACAGAAAAAAAAAAACAAAAAAAAACAGTCGGGTATGGTGGCGCGCAACTGTACTCCCAGCTACTTTGAGGCTGAATCAGAAGGATTGCTTGAACCCAGGAGGTCAAGGCTTCAGTGAGCCATGTTCGTGCCACTGCACTCCATCCTGAGCAACAGAGTAAGACCTCAAATTAAAAAAAAAGAAAGTTCAGGCCAGCCATGGTGGCTCAAGCCTGTAATCCAGCACTTTGGTGGTGGGGGAGGGGGCGTTGAGGCGAGAGGATTGCCTGAACCCGTGGGTTCAAGACCAGCCTAGGACATGTGGTGAGACCTCGTCTCTACGATAAATAAATAAAAAAAAATTATCTGGGCATGGTAGAACGCACCTGTAGTTCCAGCTACTTGGAAGGCTGATGTGGAAGGATCCCTGGAGCCCAGTAGGTCAACACTGGGGTGGCCATGAGCATGCCACTGCACTCCATCCAGGGGTCGGAGTGAGACTCCAACTCAAAAAAAAAAAAAGTTCAACATGGCAGATTCAGTTATTTGTTTTTGTGATATATATGAAAATAATTTTATGAGAAAATGTCATGGTAAAAACGAGGTGTTTTTACTAAGTAAAGATGCCTATGAGGCAGAAGTATGCTTGAAATTGATTGACAGGTACACATGATTTAAAACTGATTTCAAAAAAGCTATTATATCAATCAGAATAGAAAAGGCTGCTGGCAAAATTTACAAAGACTTCATACACACACACACTCTCACACACACATAGATTAACTGAACTAAAAAAATTTCTGTGATAGAGTGGATATGGAATACAAAAAATATTTTATTATGACAGTATATGGTTTCTCTCAAGCTGAAGAAAAATCCATATAGGAAAACCTGAAAAAAAAATTAAAATAAACTTTAGGTACATTACAATTTTCAAATTTATATTTTGACCTCCCTCTTCCCTAGAAGTCAATAATGGCCAACTCCAAGGTAATATTTTTATGAAAGTAAAATATTTATTCTGGTGACATTTACATGAATTAAAATGTAAATTTCTTGATATTTCAGTATTCTAATGAATACTGTGTATAACAGAACAAGTCACTAATGAGGAAATAAATTGATAATCCCTCTCCACTGCTCAGAGATATTGTTGAAATTAATTTAATAATAAGATCACCAAAAAGGTCATTGAGCTCCAACTATAAAGCCACTGAAGAACCTGCTAGAAAGGAGAAAGGGGTATTTTCTGGCTCTCCACTACTCTTCTTTGTGTTCTTTCAGGTAGAAATGTATCGCTTTTCAGTTGCCCAGCACCCACTGCCACTTCCCAAGAGTATCCCAATCTGATTTTGGGGAATATTTCTCCCTCATTAAGGTAGTCTTTGTGTAAAGTAATTCCAGGTTCCTGCCTCACCCCTTGGAAGCCAAAGGTGTCCAATCCTTCATAGTCTTGCCCACTTTGAGAGCCAGGATGGAGAAGATAATCTGATACTCTCTTCTGAGACTTTGAATCTTGAGGAAATGATGCAAAGAAATAATTGGAGGTCATGCACTAATTAGTTACTTCCTGCTTTAAGTTGATGGCTATGAATCCTGTGGCCTAGGTCTATAGAGGGACCTTGGTTTCTGCAAACCCAAGTCTGCTTTCAGTTAAGCAGAGCTCATTTCAGTCACTTGCAAACAGGTAATCCTAAGTGTCACATCTTTAACAGTGCTTTCCCCTACATCCACCTCAAGAAAATTACCCTATAACCTGCTCACCTTGCTTGCCTCCGAGGAAGTCATTTCTTGCTAAAAGTGATTTGCACTAAGGAGTTAAGGACTCAGTATGTTACTCTTCCTAGGAGTTTTAATAGTGAAAGAATCTATAAGGAGAAGATATTAGACAAGACTTGAAGGGTAGATGTTCAGTCCATACACGTCTGCAGGGTGAAATGCTACCGTTTATTGAACCCTTTACTATATGTTTGTTACTGTGCTAGGTGAGCACTTTACAATCTCCATGACAACACTTTGAGGATGTTGAGCAATGGAAGGCTTAGAACAGTAAAATAACTTGCCCAAGGTTACCCAGCCAATATCTGGGGAAGCCAGAATTTGAATCTATGTTATTTGATTCATTTTCTTTACTTGTGTGGTAGGAATCTTGCAAAGTCATTTTCTTAATCTGTATGATAAACCTTCTGAGGAAAAGAAGGATTTTTCTCTCTTGGACTTTATATGTTTATTTTACCATCTCTGTGTGGAATTGGCCCAGCACATGCACCCCAGTACAATGTACCAACTTGGAGGCTGACATTTCTTCCTTCAATGAAACTGGATAGGTTGGTTGGGCCAGGCCAGTAGCGTCCTTGTCCAGTTGTTATCTGCCAAGATTCAGCTATTATTTTAGTACATTAATGAGGTACAATTTACGCATAGTAAAATGCACAGATCTTATGTGTACTGTTTGGAGAATTTTAACTAAAATATATACCATGTAACCATCACCTAGCTCAAGATACAGAACATTTTCATCTCCCAAAACCAAAGTCAATTTCCCCACTCATAGAGGCAACCAGTTTTCAAATTACCATAAATTTTGCCTGTTCTTGAACTTAATATAAATGAAATCATACAGCATGTACTCTTTTGTGTAAGGTTCCTTTCAATCAACCTAATGCTTTTCAGATTAATCCATACTGTTGGATGCATCCTGATGAGTTATTTTTATTGCTCATTCATTGTATGAATATACCCCAAAGTTTTTGTGTACTCATTTTTCTGTTGATGGACATTTAGGATGCTATTGGCTAGTCTGAATAAAGCTGCTTTGAACATTCTTGCTCAAGTCTTTTTGTAAATATGTGCATTTCTTTGTTTGGGGTAATATATGCTTCAAAGTGGAATTGCTAAGACATGAAGAAGGAATATGTTACATTTTAAAATAGAAACAACAAGGATGTACAATTTTACATTCTGATCAGTAATGTATGAGCATTCCAGTTGCTCCAAATCTTCACCTACACTTTAGTGGGTGTTTTTGATATTTGCCACTCTGGTGGGTATGTAGTTTTATCTCGTTGTGGTTTTAATTTGAGTTTCCCTAACAACTAATAATGTTGAATACCTTTTTGTATGTTTATTGGCAATTCACATATCTTCTTTCATAAAGTGTTTGTTCAAGTCTTTTGATCACTTTGGTTTTTTTGAATTGGAGTCTCACTCTGTCACCCTGGCTGGAGTGCAGTGGCACAATCATGGTTCACCATAACCTTGACCTCCTGGGCTCAGGTACTCCTTCTGCCTCAGCCTCCTGAGTGATAGAGATTACAAGTGCACACCACCATGCCTGACTGATTTTTAAAAATTTTTTGTAGAGACGGGGTCTTGTTGTGTTGCCCAGGCTGTTCTTGAACTCCTGGTCTCAAGTGATCCTCCCACCTCAGTCTTTCAAAGTGTTGGGATTATAGGCCACCACACCTGGTCCATATTTTTATTATTGCTGACTGACTATAAAAACATAGCATCACATTTGACCAACTACACAATCTGCATTCTATATGCATGTCAGAAAGTATAGCTACCAACTCAGTGGCATTCAATATTTACCCAAAGCTAAGATGAAAGAGATCATATT